TTATACTAAATTTTGAAACATTACATGCATTTTAAAATTTACACCGACCTTTCGATTCTTCTTTACAGAAACCTCATAGAACTAATGTCCCCCCACCTGAAACAAAATTCTTATTCTTAACAAGCATTGCATACTTGTTGCTACTTTTATCGTTATTCTTGTTGTCGTGAAAAAGAACTGCTCCAACAAATTATCCAAAATGCTGACATTAACTGCTTTCCATCCATGATATTGATCTATTTCTCAGAATCATTGGCTAAGTGAAATTAACATTTGTCGTACGACGACGAAACCATATATCATGAAATGAAATCATAACGAAAATAATAATTTCTCTTGGCCCAAAATGAAAAACAAACAAACGGACAGACAGACCGACCAATGACCACAACATATAAACCAACAAACGACAACCAACCGATCGACCATACAACCAACCAGCATTGCAACTGCAACACTGAACTATAACCATAAATTTTCCAACGAAAACGAATTAAAGTCACGTTTTATGGTTAGGGCGCGCGTGCCCATATTGAGAAGCTATGAAAATAAAAAAAAAATATTGGCTATTGATGGTAGAAATTTTCTTTCTCCATACACACACACAAACACCCAGCTACACATTTGACAACCGGAGGCCACAAATGAAATGTGCAACCGCAACAATGTTGGCACAATTCTTTAAAAACATATTTTCGTACATAGGGAATATCCAATAACCATTGAAACCTACTATGGGGGCCTGACTGATGTTTGGTGCGGAACCACATGAACCCACAACTAACACGGTGGCCCACATTGGCTGACTGGCTGGCTGGCTGGCAACCAAAACAAAACAAAGCAACTCAATGAGATCGCCACACTGATTATCTTGGCTGGCAAATCTGCATGGAGCAGAAATGAAGTGGTGAAATGAAATGAATTGAGCTCAAAGCCACACAACTTGGCCAAGTCAGCCCACCACCAATCGAATAGCCATGAATGTTGTTCTTGTTTTTCTTTTTGTTTAAATAAAACAGAAAAAATTGAAAACATGTAAATTGTTGTAATGGCAAAATATTATGCAGTTGTTTATTTTGCATATTAAGTTATAATTACATCTCAAGAGAGAGGGAGAGGGAGGGGATTCTTAGTCATTGTAATGGACATATAGATGTCCATTTTGGAGGAAGGAGTTTAACATGGTCTTGTCATGTTAACATTTTTGTTTTTTTAATATTTTTTAAATACAAGAATGTTATATCATTGAATGGGGTATATTTATAATTTAATTATAGCTTTGCCTCATTTCATTTGAATATTTAGTTAATAATCATTGTCCGCATATGTCCGTCTATCAAATGTTATTAACATATTCATTTGATAACTAACAACATTATTTAGTTGTTGCAATTCGTGTGTTTAATGTTTTTTTTCATTTAACTGCATGTGATATTTAAAAAAAAAATTAAAACTTAAAATAATATTGGGGGTTGGAAAAATACATACGCCAACAAGTAACCAGTAAGGAAAGTAGTAAAGTCGGACTGGGCCGACTACATGATACCCTTCACCACTATATGTTTATATGTATCCTAACAATTTCATGTCATGTCAACCTATTCTACATTTAATTTCAATCAGATTTAAGGAAATCGATTTATAGCAAACATGATACACGCGATTCAGTATGCCGCACTGTTAAAAATATAATCTCAATCAGACACCCGTTCGAAATATATATGGTACGTTGTGCAAAATTTCGTGTCAATCGGACAAACAATTTAATACGCTATGCCAAATATGGTGGAAATCGAAAGATATATAGGGATTTTGGTGCAACATTTACATTAAATCGGACGAGGTTCATCATCAGCCATTATCATTCATCATTCTAGACTTAATTTAATACGCCATGCAAATTTCGTGAAATTGAAAGATATATAGGGGATTTGGTACTCCATTTATATTAAATTGGACGAAAATATTTATGGGAGCTATATTTAAATCTGACCATATACTACTACAAAGAATTTGGTTGAAAAACGCGTTCAAAAACCCCAAAATACCGAAAATTGGGGGGTACCCTTATATGGGGGCTACCCGAAAAATGGACCTATATTTATAATTTATAGTGGAGAGATTTGCTACCTTATAAGAACTCGACGTACTAAATTACAGTCAATTCGGTCGAAAAATACGATCAGAACCCCCAAAATACCAACAATTTGGGGGTACCGTTATATGGGGACTACCAGAAAAACTAGACCTATATTTATAATTTTTAGTGGAGTAATTTGGTACCCAATAATAACCCAATGTACAAACTTTCAGAGAATTCAGTTATAAAACGAGCCCAAGAACCCCAAAATACCGAAAATTGGGGGTACCCTTATATGGGGGCTATCCCAAAAAATGGACCTATATTTATAATTTTTAGTAGGGAGATTTGCTACCTAATAAGAACTCAATGTACCATATTTAAGCGAATTCGGTCGAAAACTGCGATCAAAACCCCCAAAATACCCCCAAAATTGGGGGCACCCTTAAATTGGAGCTATCCGAAAATATGGACCCATATTTATAATTTTTAGTGAAGAGATTTGCTACCCAATAAGAACTCAAAGTACCAAATTTTAGAGAATTGAGTCAAAAAACGCGATCAAGAACCTCAAAATACCGAAAATTGGGGGGTACCCTTATATGGGTGCTATGCCTAGACGTGGACCGATTTTCTCCAATTTCAAAAGGGTTCGTTCTTGGGCCAATTAAGTGACCTGTGCCAAATTTCATCCAAATCGAATCATAAATGCGACCTGCATTTTGTTAACAAAAATACATGGACGGACGGACAGACGGTCATGCGTAAATCGACTCAGAAAGTGATTCTATGCATATTCTCAAAAGGAACCATGGGTCTATCTCGATTATTTTTGTCTGTTACAAACATATGCATAAAAACATAATACCCTGTACCACAGTGTGGTGAAGGGTATAAAAACGTCGATAAGTTCGACAGGTCAAAACTTGAGATGGAAATTGGAAGATTTTTCTACAAAATGGGAGTGCAAATTTTGGTTACAAAATACCGTGCCCAACATACCGAAATTAGGGAGATATCATTATTTGGGGGCTATCCTAAAAAGGGGACCAATATTAAACGGGATTTACATTAGAACTTTTTACCGGGTTAACCTACTCTATGAGGATATATTTGGCATGTTCACAATGGAATTGACAATTGAAACCCACTGGGTTAACGAAATCCGGTACAATGTAAACGTACTATTAATGATTTTTATTTGTCATTCTGTTTGCAACACCTCGAAATATTCACCGTATACTCCACAAAGTATATATATATATTCTTGATCTGTATAAAATTCTATGTCGATTTACGAATTTCGTCTGCCGGTCTGTTGAAATTACGATTAAGATTGCCATATTTGCACAGACATTGTTTAAAATTTAGATATATATGTAATTTCGATCGATTTTATAATAGTGTATCTCAGTCCCAATATTCATCCAATTAAGATGAAAATTTGTACAGCTTACCAAATTGAGGCTAGTATTACGTGCAAAAAGTTTAGTCGAAATCAAGATATAGATATAGCTAACATATATATATATATATATATATATATATCGATTGGATTTCAATGGTACACCAAACTTTCCTGATTTGTCCGATTGAGACAAAATTTTGCATAACGTATTGGATTAACTTTAGAATGACATGTGGTAAGTTTTGTTGAAATCGGTTCTAATTTGGATATAGCTCCCAGATATATTTTCGTCCCATTTCATGCAAATTGTGCACAAAGTAGCCAACGTTTTTCCAATTGGTATAAACATTTTGCACAGCATACTGTCCGCGGTATAGCGAATGACTTGTGTCAAGTTTGTTTTGTATAGATATCCCAACTCTGAAGTCGGTTCATATATAAGTCGTCTATTTTTAAAGATTTGGGTTTGATTTGTTTCAAAAATATTGTTAAGTGGAATTAATTTTGTTAGTGCTTGGTATCCTTACACAAGATCAAATACATATATAACGTAATATGATTTGTAAACTTTTCTAGAAAACCGAGATTTGTATCAGAACCACTTTCAAAATTAATGACTCATATAGAAGGGTCCATAAAAAGTGCCCGATCTGCATACAATCTAAATCGTAACAATTAAAATATGCGCCTTTTCCGCAGTGGTTATTAAAACAATAATAGTTAAATGTTTTGGACCTGAAGAAATTTATAAATATTAAATAAAAATGTCTTTGGAACTCTAATACCTGTCATTCTAATTTTAGGGAAACACCTAAATTTTGGACGACTTTCCATTAATATGGCCGTTCCTTGCCGTTACTATTTTTAGAAGCAAAAACTGTTTATTTGTCTTTCTTCTATCACGCATTATAAATCATATTTTGTGGTCATTAAGTAAATAGAAGTTAACAAAAAAAAAAAAAAAAAAAAAAATCGGAGTTCAAAATCAAACAAAAAATCGGCAGCAAGGTCGGTCATTTATTTTGATGGCAAACAGCAACAATAAGCAGTGCCATAAGTTTGTGTACAGACGAGCGACCATTAAATGATCGTTTTTTAGATATTTAAACAGGCCCAACAACATTCATCAAAGTAACCCCAGTGTTTGGCTTTTTGGCAGCAGTTAAAACTCCAAAATTGAGCCGGTAAAGTGGCGTTAATGTTTCGTCAAATAAATGTCTTGAAAACGGAGAAAAACAAAAACCAAGGCAGACACACTTGCTATCATTGGGTATGATAGCGGCGCAGGCAGGCTTACTCTTGCTTGGCAGTTTGCAGATTTTTCTGTCTGTAGGCCAATGTTTAAAATCACTCACAAACACATCAAGCTTTAATAACAAATCTAATAAAAATAATTTTTAAATTCAATTTAAATATGGCTTTTAATTTTTTCTTCTTCTTCTTCATTAAACATCATAAAATCTTCTTAAATAAAAATATGAAAATATTTACAAATTTGTTTGTTTGACTTACCATCTCATCGAGACTCTTCAAATCGTTTGTAATAATTTGTGGTTGTGGGCCGTACATTAACATGGGACCTTGATCGTCATCATCTTCATTTTCACTGTCACTATCGTCGAAAATGTCAGTTTCGGTACCGACAGTTTCAGTTCCCACGCCAAATTCAGTTTGTGTACCATCACATTCGGTTTGGGTGCCACAGCCAATGCCGTTGGCTTTATTGTCGGCGGCAATCTCTCGATCAATTTGTCGTTCCATTTGTACCAACATTGGAGCTAACATACCTGTTGTGATGGGGATGAACGAAAAAATAAAGACAAAAGAGCAGGAATTAGTTAATGTGTAGGGGATTTAAAGGGGGAAAAGGATTAATATTGAGATTGATAAATTTGACACCTTAAAAGGAAGGTGTTGTTTGGGGTTGAAAGGGAAATTATTTACATTTTATTCAGACAAGGGTTACGAGTAATGACCAAAAATTTTAAGAACGAATTCTTCAAATTTCATTCATTCTTCAATTTTTTTTTGTCATTACTAGATACCTTTTTCTGAATAAAATGTAATAAATATCCCTCTAATTTGGTATTTTAAATGAAATCACTTCAAAAATACTTCATCAGATTTACTTCGAAAAACATTTTGACATACAACACCGATTTTAAAATGTTGAAATTAAAAATCTACAACAACATGTTGATCCTTCGTAATGATACAGAATATATAAATAAAATTTCGGTAATAAGTTTGGAATTTTAAATACAAATAAAATAATGTTAAATTTAAATAGAATAGAATTTCTCAAAAAACTTCGAAGAATAACCTAGAGATTCATAAAAACAACTGGTTGTTGTGGTTTGGAAGTCGAAGGATTCCCACACATCAATTTGTGGATTGGCCATGAAAAGCGCGTGATATCGCATCCCTGAACATTATCCTGTATATGACGTCTATTCACTATGAGATCGATAAGGATATCGATTATAAATGTTCATAACTTATGGGCGCCATCTATACTTCATTTTATATTTTGATGTGTACCTACATTGTTAGTGCCTACTTTAGGGCATTAGAAACTAAGGTAGAATTAGTTCTGATCATAAAGTCATATCAATCAGCTGATCGAACCAAACATATGGAAATTAATGTATTCGAGTTTACAGAATATTGAATCGCAATGATCCAATAATCATGATGATAATGACTTATTGTAAGGAATGTCTTATATCCTTTAGAGGAAATTGGTACCACCTATATTTCACTTTCTATATTATTACTTATTTAAATAATGTATAAATAGTGCATTCTTAAGCTTAAAGCCTCAAAACTGCTTATAGAAATGTAATTTTTCATAGAATTATCAGTACTTTCTTCAGTTCTATAGTTCATCTTGTGTTAAGTGGCTTATGAATGGAGTATACTTTTGGGTGCTTTGGGTACAAAAACTACTCATTATTTTATTTCTCAATTGGTTTATTTTTTTGTCACCGAAAAAGTAAATCTCGACGATCCAGATTAATTCACCCTTCTATGAGGTATTACGTAACACCTTTAGACGAAATGAGTGCCATCTATACTTCATTTTCTATTTCGTTATTTATTATTCTACTTATAGAATTTTAATTTATCCTAGATGAATTTTAATTTTTTCAGATTAATTAAAAATAGTGTATACATTTAGGTTTGGTGAATGTTTTAAATTCCAATGTCCGGACAATTGCAAAATATTTTCATAAATTTTTCGCCACAGGATTATACTTTCATATTAAATAAATACGAACTATACAATATTGTACTTTATTTAAATTGTTTGTGAATAGTGTATCCTTTTGGGGTCTGTGTCAAGGTTGTTTTAACATTTTGCTTCACAGTTCCAATTTAATTTGCGTTTTGTTGCATTAGCTTATACAATAACTTAGACACCAATGACCCTGACGATATTGTTTGTAACTTCTATAAGAGTACGTAGCTTCTGCCAATTAAATTAGCGACATCTATACATCACACTATATTTGTTATATTTCAGTAACATTAATTACGAATAGTGCATAATTTTGTGTGCAAATCGATCCAAGGATTAATAACACATTTTCTGCATGTTTAAATTGTCGGGTTAGATTTGTCATCGATGTAGGATCAATGACCGATCTTATCATCCGATAAGATCATATCAGTAAATGACTGTGCTACGCAACTAAATTGAAGTAGAGATGGCGTTAATGGCATTAATCTTTACATGGATAACTGCTGTTTTAAAGTTTGTCCGTTGGTAATATTTTCAATTTTGTCCTATTATTTTAGGTAAATATTTTTTCAGTAGTGTTGGCGGTTTATTTGGGATACCATTTGTATTTGTTTTTGCAAAATAGTCAGGCTGAATCCCAGTTTGTTGTTTTTATAAAAAACAACTATTTATTAGTGGGGAATATATGGCATTGTTTGCGAGGGGTAAGGCAGGGAAGACTATAGTTTCGGATCTCGCCACTGATCCTCATCAGATCCCTTAGTTTTATTTTATTTTTTATAAATTAGTTTACGTTGAAAAGGGGGATGGTTTAGACCACCACATACCTAATATTGGGATATACATCTAAGCCTGTAAGTGGCTGTTATGCGCTCTAGAGAAGGAAGAAAGTTAAAAGTCATCTTCTGTCCGATTTAGTTTAATTTAATTTTGGAATGATTTTTAAATATGAAGTATATATTGTGTTCCTTTTATATTGCGAAAAATAAAAATATATATTTACAATTATAAGACAACCCTTAAATTATGCAGCTATTATTTAAATAGTTAACATTCAATTTCAAGATGTCAAGATGACAACCATTGAAATATAGATGGCGTTCTTATAACAAATATTAGCTTATCCGGAAACTCTGTACCAATTTTGTGTTAGGGTGGATTTTAGAGTTGCATTCAGTTGACAATTATTAGCTTCTTTTTATCATAAATTTGTATTTATCTTTTTTAAATTTTTATATTTATATCTAAATCGAAGGATAAAACGAACCTGAAAGAACACATGTATTATTTTATTTCAAATAAATATAGACTACTACATAACGATAAATTGAGTTTGTTAAAACAAATATTATGCGAAAATTCTGTAGATCTACTACTTCTCTAGGGCCTACTTCTCTAGGGCTGATTTAAGAATTAAAAAGTTGAAAATGTTCAGCCTCTTACTATAAATTTGTATGTAAGTATGGAAGAGACAACTCGTTTTATGATTTCTTATAGATTTTTTTCTTTCGTAGCTCAGCTTCATTCACTAAATTCCTGCAGTTGTAGGACAAACCTAAAAGTATGCATTATAATATAAATATTAAGTTTATACTACCACTAAAATATAGATGGAGGTAATTATAATATATAGTAGCTTATTTGAAAACTCCAAAGTTATTTTAAATCATGTTCGTCTTTTGAAATAACGAAAGAACTTGCAAGATTTAGGAGAGAACATTCAAAATTTTCACATTCAATACTACTACTCCTAGGATGGTATTTAAAATAGGATACATCGTTCGATGTTTTGGTATAGATGCAATATAAATATAACTCCCTTCGGTATTATAGGAAGTTTAAGTTTTAGATTCTCATTGGGAAAAATGTCCCTCTACAAAAAAAAATCATTATTGGCCCAAGTTACTCACTATTTTGGGCGTATTTTTAACCGAATATGTTTATAATCATTCTCATAATAAATCTCCCTACCAATATAAATATCATATAAAGCTCTAATCCCTTTATAGATATTCGGATGGTCCTAGGATCTAGTGACTAAATTTTAGCTTTACGACGTGGTCATTCGAGGACTTCGGTGGGTAAACAATGTCTTCACAAAACATTTGCAATATAAGTGCATGTGTAATATCCGGTATGTTCAAAGTCTTAGCATAATTTGCCAACATGAGTGTTTGTAGTTTATTTGAATTTCATATTTTGTGGGAATACATCTCAGCATCGGAAATTTCCTTCTCAAGGTTTATATCAATAAGATTTTTATTTGACTTACCAAATTTCGCTCCTCTCCGGGCAACTTCTAAAAGGCATAAAATGACATGTTTTTCGTTTTTTCTCATAATGAGGTCGTCTGTTTCGAATAAGAGGCACTCTATAATTTTAAGGCTTTTTCTGAAATGACAAAGTAAAAAAAAACATTATATCAACAAATAATAAAAATAACACAATAACAATGTATTCTTATCATCAAATAAATCTTACAAAAATATAATAATATTCAAGACAAACAAACAAAGAATTCGATGAATGAATGAAAAAAGTCTCAAATGAAAAGTGCAAAGAGATTTGTTTATCCCTCCAAAACAAAGATGGAAAGATGCAGATACGATTGTAAATCTTTGTGGTTTATTATTACAATTATACATTTATTGCTGTTGGTGTTGTTGTTGTAGTTTTTCTTATGGAAGGTGTTGTTATGGTTGATGTTAAGGAAGGTCTGGATGGATTTCATTTTCTTTGGGTTGTGTGGTATACGATATGATGATGTCTTTCTATGATTATCTGTCTGCTCATCAAATGGATCTCTCTAAGCATTCCTTTTCCTGGCTGCATGTCTTTCAACGCAACTGTCTGTCGGTCTGCCTGTTGCCTTGGAGTTTATTCATCCATTCATTGACTCATTATTAGTTTTGGACGCACATCAAAGAGAATCTATCCCTCGTCTGTCTGTGTGTCTGTCTGTCGGTGGTGTGTGTGATGCATTTATTATTTAACATTAATTTGCTGTGAATGAATTTTACGCGGATACGGTTTAATTTTGTTGATCTAAATTTAATTGAAATAGTTTTCAAGTTGTTGTTTTTGGGTTCTTTCGCTTTTCATTCTTCAAAGTGTATGGCAGTTCATTGGTGTTATTTTTTGTTTTGCTCTAATCTTATGAAATTGTTGTTGTGGATTATATTTGTTGTGTTTTTTATTTCATAGTTCTCTAAGTACTTTTTCATTTCGTTCTGCTTTCATTTTGTGGTTAGCTGGCAGAGTGGCTAGCAATCTAGCTGTTTGGCTGGCTGACTGTCTGTCTCTGTGTTAGCTTTGAATTCTATTGCCAAGAATTTTCTATTTTGTTTAATTCTAGTTGAAAGTGCAATGATCGGCAGGAATGCTTCCGAATTTTTTTTTTCAATGTGATTTCATGTGTGTGTGAAGTAAATGAAATGTCTTTAGTTTTGGCAAATTAACATAATTTAGTGGAGAATGTAAGGAAGATTTTAAAATGATTTTGGATTACAGGTACGAATAGAAGGGCAATCAGCAGATTTAAAAGAATTTTGGAATATACATAGAAATTATTAAAAAATATCGAATTATTAAGATCCTCAGCGTACATGTGGATACACGTAAGAAAATTTAGTTGCGGTATGAATTAGATTAACAAATTGATCTTCTGTTAATTTTGCCTACAATTTTAATCTTTTTATGTGAAAAATTTTTAATTTTTTTTGAATTTTTTTTATTATTTTATGCTTAATAAAAAATATAGAAATAATTTAAGAGGACCCACATTCCTCGATTTCCAAAAATGTAATATTGTTTTTTGATTTAATTTGAGCCTACACTAATTCGGTTTCGGGTTCCCCTTATTGTTTCTCTGTATTGTATTGTCCGATTTTTAAATTAGAATATATAAAATGCATTTGTAAAGTTCAGTTGTTTTATAAATCAATCGTATTTTATATCGCACCTAATTCTTCGATTACTAAATAAAACCCCATTAACGTTTCCTATGCGAACGTTGGTGTGAAATAAAAATATTTATGTTTGTTTTTCGAACAATAGAACTAATTGATATTTTGTAATATAAAATTTGATCATGGCTAATATAGGGCCTAAAAGAAATGTTTATATTATTGTGGAATAACGCAATATAAAGGTATGGGAAAATAAAAAAGAGATATGTTAGTATTTTAGATTTGTCTAATTACTCAAAGTAATAGTTCAGTAGAAAGAGATTCGGGGTGTGTTTTATAATTTAATTTTTTTTTAAATTATTTTTTAATAGCGCCTAAAATATATACTTCAATATTTATAACTACTTAAAAATTCAAAAATTAACATTAGGGATTTTTTTAAACGTAGTAGTTCTTTCTGAGAAATTATTTAAGTTGAGGTATATATGAATTATATATCTCCGAATCCCTTAAGAAAAATTGGTAGCACTTCCCAATTCCAGTTACTAGCTAAATACATAAAAACATAGACAGCGACTCCTTAATATGTCAATAAAGTTTTTTTTTGGTATGAAGCTCTTTAGGACAGATTTCCGGATCAACTCAAACCAAAGACATAAAAGTATAAAGATACGTTGTTATGATATCATAACAACAGAGCAAACAATATTAAACGTTTTAAGGGCTATATCTCAAGCTTATAAAATAAAAACATTTATTTTGAGTGCAGATCTCTGATTTAATTTACATTTTATACGCACATTATCGCGTATTGGTGGTTTTATTCTTAACATGCCTCTGTTATACCTGATACCCCTGGTTATTTTTTTATAAACTATTTTGTCAAAATGTATTTTGTCGAGTCTTTACGGTTTGTATGTCTTTGCTCAAACCCTTTAAACTACAATTTTATCAGTAGGTCTATTCTGTAACATTTAACAACATTCGATATTGTTTAAATTTCTTTTGTTATTGTAAAAACAATAAAACAAACAAATGAAATTGTTGTAAAATAGACAATATCGAATTTGTTAAAAAGTTACAGACTACAGGGGCAGGAATAGTGTTTTCTATTCATGAATTCAAAATTATATACTCAATGTTATACAATTTGTAATGTAGATGCCGGATCCGTAACAATACTAAAATATCGTTTTGCATATTTCTACGTTCGCTTTTTGGAAGTTTCAAGACAATTCTAGCCTCAAACCTGTATAACATATTCATCAGCCACTTATTACCTTATTATTTTATCAATGGTCACCTGTATTTGCATAAACAGCCTAAATGGCGCCCAACGGTATACATTGTGTTAATACACAACAACAAAATTATTAAAATTGAAGTGTAGATGACAATCCGTGCTGTTCCGAAAGGAACTAGTTCAAAGGAATTATTCCGCAAAATGAACGATCGGTACTAAGTCAGATGTGTTCGTTCATCTGTTTCGGGTTCCTTTTGATCCAATCGTTCAACTAGATCTTGCTGAATGAACTATTCATTGGCCGAATAACCGACGTGTACCAATGAACGCAATGAAATATAGAACTGACTGAATGACCTAATTCATTTTGCGGATCGAATTGAAAAATATCGTGTCGTTTCAGAAACGAGATTGTTGTTGTTGTCCACCTAATAAAAAAAAAATTTCATTTGTATTCGGATAATTCAGTTAGAAACTGAAATGTCGATCTTAGAGACATTGGGTACATAGTTTCTCGGTCGAATCGATGTACAGCTATGTTTACAGAATCAGAATTATCAGAAAATTTGTATTTCAGGTCATGTTTATAGAAAAACATTTTTAAACATTTTTCGAAAAATATCAAACTAAGTAGGGATCCCAAAATTTCGAGTTCATTGTTCGTAAACTTCCTTCTAGAACGCTATACAAAAAATTTCTATTTGAAACTAATAATGCAGGCCTATGTAGAGCTATTGCCCCGTAATAAATTTTCATTCTAATTGACATATCTTGGATCTGAAAAATGTCAAAAAAAACCTATATCCACGTTAGGATATAGCCTCCATATTTGATGAACGGAATATGTATCAATGAGAAAAGAATTTCGACCGAAATAGCCACGATTATGCTGCAGCATGCAGCTAAATGACACATTGGTCTTTCTTAATTTAAAGAAATTATTTAAAGTATATATATTTGTGTAGGCTAATTGTTATAAATTTATTTATTATTGTCCTGTAACAGTAATCAACAAGTAATAAAAGTTCGGGATCGTATAACACGTATAAAAATAAAACTAGGTGGTAGTGCTTCAAAATCAACTTAACAATAAACCAGTAGTTTGCATGCACTGTTATTTTTACTCAGTCAAATATTCACAGTATTAAATTTGGATATTTTTTTTTTATTTTTTTTCGATAATAATAATTCTAATATAAATTGAATCAGTTCCATATTTTTAAAACATTAAAATATTTTTTAAATATAATTTGCTATAATTTTTAAATATTTCTCAGAACTAACCTGCACCATGTTATGAAATTTGATACATTATCACGGGCAAAGAATGTACCGCTTTTAGCTCCAACCAAATAGTGTACATTGCCCATGGCCAATATTGGCCCAGCCGAGCCTGAAGTTATTGAACGCGTCATTGATTTGTTGCGTGCCTGACGTCGAGCCAAATAATCCTCAGCTGCTTGGCGTACATAGTTAGCGTGCTGCAAAGGCAAAGAGAAACAACAACAAAATGAAAAATGTAAACAACATTTCAAGAATCAACAACAAGAAAAGACAATTAAAGAGACAAAACAAACAGCGAACAACAAACATAATAACATTTTACTATATGGTACATAAGTATCAACGTTTGTAAGCCTCAAAAACAATTTAAGGAATCTGCGTAAAAAAAGAAAAACAAAAACACCCAGCAAACGCCACCATTAGATATTTTTACGGACACCACCCAAAAAACGAACCAAAAATACGGCCGTCGCAAATATTTACGCAATGTAAAATGCCTTACAAAGAAAAAAAAGAACCAAAAAACGTCAGAACCACAAATGCGTAACCATTAGATGTGTGTTATTTTGGCTAAAATGTCTATGCATTTGTGTATGTATGTGTGCGCATATGCGTTTTTGTGCCTCTAATGCTGTTGCACTTTTTAAAGGCAGGCGACATTTTGAGGCTACAACATAATTAAATTAAAATATATTTGACGAAACGTTATTTTGTTACCATTTCTGTGCTGCTGTTGTTGTTTTGCTCTTCTTTCTCTATTGGGGCTAACAGAAAACATTTGTGGTCTTATTTATTTTAAGTTTTTTTTTTGCTTAATAATAAATAACGAGTAGATATTAATTTGAAGGAATTTGTGGATATAAAAACAAGAAAAGTGAATTTTTGCCCCTAAAAGTATGCAGCATACATTCGACAACCAAAATTCCTGCAGTTCGTTGAATAACGAAGATCAGTTGCAAATCAGCTGTTTCTCAAGTTTGCTGTCAAAATCCATTATTTTGAATTGACTGTATATTATGAAAACGTAAATAAGAACAAAATGCACTTGCAAATGTCAGTAGTAAAGTATTTTCAGGATCTGAAAATGCCTAAAATTGGGCGGAACCATTTCTGTGAACGCTGTATCGAAACATGGACACGTATTGAAAATTTTCGGTGTAGAAGTTTATTATCATCATGTATATATATATCGAAAATTTCATGCAAAATGTTTTTCACTCTCCTTGAAACCGGAATGTCTTTTGTTGGAAAAATTCGCATACCTAAAAATGGGCCGAGGTACATTCACATGGGACGATGTGAAACATGGACTTGATTTGAGAAATTTCTTGTAGAAAATTTCTAATTCACCGGAAATCCATCTATGCCAAACTACAGTGAACATGAACCTTTGACCACCTACACCTCTCAAATGGTGAGGCCACTTTATACTAGTCTATGGCCATCAACAAATTTTGAAATGGTGCGGATACTTCAAGAACTCTGAATGCCATTTCGATTTTCGGTTGGAAATGGGTTTAGGATCATCAAAATATCTCAAACTGGGCGAGATTTGCATATGAAGGCTAAGGCAAAACATGGACTTACACTGAACATTTCTCAAAAAGATCTTTATAAACCACCAAGACACCGAATGGCCTTTACATGAGGGTCATGTCAGAACAAAAATCTATATCGAAAATTTTCTGCAAAGATATTTTTGACTTCCCCAGAATCCGGTTTGCCACTTTGAATAAACCTCAAAAAACCTAAAATAGGATGGAACCGATATGTTAAAGTATGGAGTATATTCGTCTGAATATAGTGAATTAATTTTTGCAAGGCCCATTCACAGTATCTCGGTTGTAATTAGGTTCATTGAGTGAATTCGTCTATACTTCTTACTCTCAGAAATTGAAGTTGGAACCACTTTTTCTCCGTTTTTTTTTAATGTATAAAAATCATGTTTACTCTATCGTGAGCGGAGCAGTATAGTCGGACGGGCCGGCCATCTGATACCCTGCACAACTGCCACGGTAATCTAACTGTCTGCGGATTTTTATTACGAGTCCGGGAAATACTTCGCTATATTTACACCCTTCTGACCGATTAGATGCCAACAGCTCTTCTTTCATACCCTGGGATATTATTCGAATTTTATTTTTTAATTTTACACAGAAAAGTCTTCCTTACACAGAAAAACATTCCTTCTTCAGGAAAATCCTTTCTTCCTTTCTTCAGGAAAATTTGTGGTGTTTGGCTTATAAGTTTGGGTCCATTTGACTTGATAAATATTGACCAGTTTCTTTTTTCAGAAGTCACTAGGAAAACAGACTAAAATAAAATTATTAGTCCATTTGATCTCCTAAATATTAACCGATTAAAAAGTTCTCTGGTCAGCCTGTATCACCCTTATTACCCACCAAGAACTCGGTATTACAAAACGTGGACCAATATGTTTAATTTTGAATACCATACATTATAGGGGTAGTAGCTTAAATATTTCGAGCTCTATAGTGATTTCAACAGATGTACAGTTAGAAGTGAATTGGCTAAATCGGCATAGAATTTTATGCTGATCAACAATTTATAATTTATGGAAGGAATATTTCGAGGTGTTATAAACGGAATGACCATATGGTGTAGAGTGTACAAAAATTTAATTATTCTCCTAAAAGTATGCAGCAAACATTGGACAACTAGGTTTAAAGAACGAATTGTGGTAATGAAAATTTTAAATTATGACATCATAAATTTTTGGAATTGGATTTTTTAATCTCTGAAATCCAAAATGTTAAATGAAAATTTAATATCAAATATTCACTTCCCATATAATAATGTGACTCTTTAACAAATTTTGTCGCTTATCATCAACAAATTCGTCACACATATTTTTTTTATTTCCTACGTTGTAAGATTTCAATTAAAAAAATATAGATTTTTTTCTTCGTAAAATCCATGATAAAACAAAATGGTTTGTCACGATTTTCTTTTTGGTTTTCATTAAGACAAAATTGGGATATTTTACAATTATTTTGTGTCTCTCAGTATTTTTTTTTTATTTGGACTCCAAGCTATTATTATCATATCGATCGATAATGCTAGAAATTACAACAAGCTTGTCATAATGAGAAAATGAAGAAGAAATGTGGCAGCCGAGGCAATGACGTTGTTGTTTATTGTTTGCATAACAATGGCAACCAACAATTAAAAAATATTGAAAAAATGAAATAGTTATTGAAAACTAGGCAAAAATTAAAAAAAGAAATATTGGTTGGATTGGTTGTTGATGCACAAAAAAACCGCCTGCACCATCATCACCACCGGTCGCCCAAAAAATTTTCTCTATGACAAAAAAGGGTTTTTGGCTTTTACTTTTTGTTGTTGTTGTTGTTGCTGCTGCTGCATTTGTCATTGTAATGCTTGGGTAGCCGCCAAATATGTGAATAATTGCCCATTTTCACACACAGACTCAACAAAGAAAAAAAGAGTTCACAATGACTTCGTTGAGTTTTGAATAGAGCGACCATTCATTGCGGTGCTTTTTTTGTTTTCAATTTTCATTTGTTTTTTATTGTTGTTGGTGTTTTTTATATGCAATGAGGCCAATTAAATGTCATGCATGCCACATTTTACATGTACACTAAACGTTTCAGACATTAATGTGTCCACTTGAATATATGTATGTCGGAGTTGTAGGCATTGCACGCATACATAGATATGTGCACACATATAAGTACCTAGTAAACATAATTGTCAGATTTCGACCAAAGTTCGATTTGTGTCGTATAAAGTCGACAGAATGTGGATAGGGATACCAAATATTGGGCCAACCTCAAAGAATGTTTCTATGTCGACATTTAAAAAAAACTACACGTCAAATTAATACATTTTCGAATTGGTAAATATGAGCAGACCCTCAAGATACCAAAAATCGGATGGTACTATTGAATGGTTAATAATGGTTTGTCAGGATGTATTCGATTCACTGGGACCACATACAACACAGAATCGGGAAGTTATACTGGTTATAACACACTGATAAACGCAAGTGCCAAATTTCAGCAAACTTGGACTAACATAGAACCTTCTGTGATCTGAAAGAGCGGAGGTGCCATTATACTACCAATATTTTTTTAAAAGATCAATTGCATGAAGCGTCAAATTATATTTTAATTGGAATATGTGGCAAAAATGTACGATATGTCTAAATCGGTAGATATTGTTTTATATGGTTTATAAAAATGTGAAATAAATGTGTTATATTCTAAAGCTCCTTATATGGATCTTCAGATGAATATTTCAATATTTTGCAAAGGAAGATTTTATTTTGGAATATAGAAAATTATCAATATATGTTTTGACATAGTCCTCATACAAAGTTCCCGCCCCTTGGTCGGTATTTAGAGGAAATAAAATCAACATGCCTGTAAATTATTATTCGGTGTTATTGGAAGAGGGGGACATAACCGCATATAAAGGTTTCGACCTGTTTTGAATGTTTTATCCGTATTTTTCAGCCAAATTGGTTTTTGGAGAATAGCACACATCTTTGCAGAAATTAACAAATATCAGACCATGTTTGGAAATAGCCTCCCTATCTTTATATGGTGAAGGGATCCCTCATGATGAAGTGTATAAAACCTCTGTTCGGTCGAACATAAGGCTGTTTTGATTTCTCCTTCCAATTTTGATAGAGAGTATAAGCAAAAAAAAAATTATTCGGCCGGGTCTATCTTCTTGGGGTCTCCTAGAAGAAAACTCATGCTATCATACGACCTTAAACATAGCGAAAAGTACGTCAGAAAAAGATGATTGAACTTCTTAAATACCTACCGTTATATGTGGCAAAAATCAAAAGGAGATCAATATTAATATTTTTGGTAGTGATATTTGACAGCCACTGAGAATACACAAACCCAAATTACAGCCGAAGTTGGTTGGAAAACGTTGGGCGCCATATTCAATTACATATTACTTTGACCCTCGAAATTAGCAAAGTCATTACAATCCCTTTTGTGATGCCCCAGACCGAATTTTTGGAATTTATTAAAAAAAATATTTTCTAAAATTAAATTTTGTAAAATTTTCGCATAGTTGGATACATGCATGTTTAGTATATTAACCCTGGAAGTATGCAATACAATCACGAAACTTTGTGTTCAATACTAAAGTAGGCAATAAAATCACTCAAATGAGGAAAATGTGTCCTCCAAAA